GTGGTTTTATTTCGGATGTGATTGAGGTATGACTGAGTCCCGGTGAGAGTTGGGCAGGCGGTCCGCCGAACCCTTTGGTTCGCCTTAGGGTGAGGTGGGGCCGTCACAGAACCAGCCATAGGTTAATATAAAAGTTGTAGGAAATGATGTTTTATAGCTTCCTATAAAATTTCAGCTCAATCCGAGCACTGTAGCACGTGAAATGACAAAATTACCCTTGCTGCCATAGGTATAGTTTTGTTGACAGTTTTGACATTTTCTCATTCTGGCTGCATTTTTTCACCTTGATCCGTATCAAATTAGCCTTTGGCCAAAACACAAAACTTTTAGCCCTATGTTTCAGCTTTCCAATACAATTGAAAACACCTCAAATGGAATTGTGTATCCTGAGTTATTATTATTTGAACACAGTGCTGTTAACCAGCCTGATAGTGAAATTCTGGTTCTGTAACTTGTAAATTTGACCTAGATACACTATGAACTGGGTTGAGTTGTCTTCATTAAAGTTGTATCCCTTTGGCTTAGCTTCGAAACAATATACATTTTATCCTAATCTGATAAGTGTAGCTTCGGTTGTGACCGATATGCTAAGAGATGTCAAACCTGTCGTTTTGTTCTTCACCTTAAATCTTATTTCCGGTCACTTTTCTAGCTTGATTTTGTAATTGATTGATTTTTAGCCTATTGAGCAGCTATTGTAATGAGATTATCTGTGTGTGACTTTGGGATTGATTCAGGAAAAAAATGAAGCCATAAATGGCTGGAAAATAGGTAAATACAAAGGGCATGCTGCCCAAATTTGCACTCGAGGGCTAGGTAGATGTACTCGCGACTTGAGTAAGGGTTGAGGATGAAACTAACTTGAATCATCTGAGGTATTCAAGTCTTCTTCAATAGAGGCTTATAAGTTGGAATTCGCCCGAAACTTTTACCCTTGGAAAAATGAAATTTACGACTAATAGAAATACGTTTTCTTTGTCACTTCGACTCAAATGGAGATTTCAAAGTTTTACGAGTGAGCATAAGTTTTACAAATATTTGATTCATGTCCTTTGGTTTAAATGTATTCTTTTCACTTCCAAAACCATATTTATACTTCGTACTAGTAGTTATTCGGATTTTCTTTGGTTCACCTAAACTTTGGATGGTTTAACTGCAATATTTTCTCTTGATTAATCTTAGGGTTTATTGGTGATTGAGGGTAATACCCGGAAGAATATTTTGGACGTTCTTTTGCTTAAATAGGTGAGTGTTCTTTGTTTGTTATGTTTCCATTAACTATATGATTTGTTGTGGATATTTGATTAAATGATAAACGTTTGTTAAAAATGAATTTTGCTAGGTGAGTGTGTACTTTATCGCACTAGACCTAAATGAAATGTGAAATTTTCAATGTATAAGTGATTAAATGTTAGTTGTGCATGAATGTAAGCCATTCGGTTGAACTGGACCCTTGCCCTTCGTTGCCGGTCGACTCGAGCCAGAAGTGGACTCGGTCAGGCGATTTGGTGACCCTGGGTGAAAGTTTGGTATACTCAAGTATTACCACGTTGTCGGGTGGAGTCTGGCCAATGTCCAGAAGGGGGAAGAATGAAATGAATTAACGAGTGACAATGTCAATGGAGGGGTTTTCACTTACAAAATGCATTTTAAAATGATTGGAGGAATAAGAAAATGAAAGGTGAATGAAAGAACGAAAGGCTCCATGTGAGCATGTATTCTTTTAATGAATGTGTTATCATTGCTTCATATTGTAATTATTTCCTGGATTACTTGTTATTACATGATTAATGTCCTTGTTTAAGTTGATTATGTGTCTAGAACCTCACTGAGCTTTTAGCTCATTCCGTTAGTTTTGTTTTCCTTAACAGGGGATGCGAGCAAGGACGAGAGATTTGTACAAACTAGCTTAGTCTAGTTCTTTTGAATTTTTGTAATGGTTCTCGCCCTAGCGCTTGGCAAGGGTTGGATGTATGAAGAATTGAGAACCTTTGTACATTTGGGTTTGTACTACTTTGGAGATGGAAATGTATATAAGTATATGTTTTAAGTTTGGAATTATTGTTACATTTATTCTTGTGATCTTATGTTTTTTCATATTTATTTGAGGACCGTAGTGAGTCCCGGCGAGAGCTGGGCAGGTGGTCCACCAAACCCTTTGGTTCGCCTTAGGGGGAGGTGGGGCTGTCACAAGTCAGCCTAACGGTAATAGCCAAAGAGATTTTGATACATTATAGAATATGAGCCATACATCCAAAAGGGAAGTATACACTAAGATCTAAAGGGAATCAGGCAGTGGTCGCTTCAACTTCATCGATATCATAGGAAGTGACTATTGTATAGCGAGCACCCTTTGTAGCCCTCACAGCGTGGCTCGAATGCTTAATATAGAATAGAATTACTCTTCCCTTAAGTGCACTTGCCACACGATCAGTAAGATGAACATTTTGTTGACAAATTGGAAGCAATGTCTCATTACCATAGGGGAAAAAAACCAAATTAACAACATTAGGGACTAAAACTATATGTACAGCAAGGAAAATAGCAGTACCTCTTGGTCAGCTTGATACAAACGGTAAGAATTGATACCTATCAGCTTCTCGGCCTCGTCCCCCATGGCAATTTTATTGACTGAATCGGTGTCATCTTTGATAGTAAGAGTCACACAAGCCCTTACATTACAAACACAAAAGCAACTTAACTAACCAAAGAGGCCTCAAAAAACAGCAACACATAATAAAAATCGCAGGAACAAGTTGAATTTTAAAAAAACATAACAGAGGCTACCACAAGGGCACTATACCTAGGAAAAGTATAAATGTCTTGACTGTAATAGTGGCACATAATACCCCAGCTTGAAGAAAAATCATTAGGAAGATAACAATGCGGATAGGCTAGATACCATAGCCTACCCATCCTATATTCAAGAGAAATTGTGCCTTTTATCCAAGCAGTACCTATGTCCTGTGGTGAGCAATATATACAGCAAGGGGAAAAGTTATGGTATATTGAAGGTAGACATGAAAAAATTTACAAAGAAAGACTATATTGTCATCCAAAAAACATAATAGCGAACTTACAAAGTTGGTTGCCTGACCAATGTATGAGATCAGACTTATACGATTAGAAGCAACTGGAGGAAGCAATACATATGGATTAGCATAACTCCTTTCGTGAACCATTTGTGTGAGCTCCGAATTATTAGTCTGAAACCTAATCAGATTATAGCAGTTTGTTAAAGCAAAGTAATAATAAAAAAAAAGAAAGATAAATAGAGAACAACAAATAAGGAAACGATCAAAGAAACCAAAAGCAACAGACCATGCCCGCAAGTTCCCAGATTCTTGCACAATCGGTGAAACCAATATCACAGATGAAGACTAAGCTGATAATGATAGATCTGAAAATTGAGAGATCAAGAGAACAAAGCTCAGCCAAAACCAAACTCCAAAAAAAAAAACCAACAACATAAAAAACCTTACAGTTATCTGTAAGCACCCTAAGGCGGATACATATCAAAACTGGATTCTGTGCAATATTAGCCATTATATCAGAACCTTCTATGGATTTGAACTCATTCCAGAGGGTCAAGATTATAGGCCTAAGCCTTAACACAGAAGGAAAAACAAAGAATTCTCATTATTAGCCTGAATACAAATGATACAATCAATACACAGAGGGGGGGAGAAAAGGCAATACGAACTCATAGTTAACAATAATATAGTCGCGCGCAACAGATGGCCCTCCTTTAAAATACACTTCTCTAGCAGGGAAAGCACACAAAACAATTCCCATGACATCTGCGAATCCTCAAACAAGATAAATTCAGGGAAAAGCAAATGTATAGGCACAAGAAATTCAAGAAAACAAGTAAAAACAACCCAACAGAAAATAAAGCTACCTATGAAATTTTCTGTGTTAGCAACAGTATCACATGAAGCAATAGAGCGCAAACGAAAATAAGATAGGAGCTTTGGAGGGTCAACTATGATCACCTCCTCAATCACAGTTTCAGCAGTCAAAACCCAATAAATGCGATAAGAACCAACATCCAAAGAACAGTCAAGTATCTCATGAACACGAGCTCTTGAAATGCGATACTCCCTAAACGGCACAAGAAGATTGGTAACACGATCAATGTTCTCATCAATCGCAAGTGCAGTCACCTTAATGCCCTAAAATAGACAAATCCAAAATCAGCAAAAGAACAAAAGAAAAATAAACAAGAAACAACATAAAACTGTACATGAAAATCAGAAAAAACAAAGATGCAAAACTTCTTTGCTAGTCCACTGCCACAAGTTGTCTTAACGTGCGATGCCTCAACAAGCTGGACTTGAGATGTCCAACAAACCATGCAAGAATTAGCCTCAGGCACACGTAACATAGTATCCGTGAGGACCCATAATTTTATTATTTCAAAATATTGTTAAATTGGTCATTTTAAAAATATTTTGTACTCGAGTTACCAAAAAAAAAAAATAATAAAATAAAATATACTAAAGTACATGAATTTCTCGAAAATAAATTTTTCCGATTGGTTCTTTACGCGCATATTATTTTAATGCCCAAATTTATTCAAAATGAATTGCTTATCATGATTTTTATTGTTATCCATATATATATATATACTTGGATTATCAAATTTTAGAGTTTTAGAATCGAATAAGTTGAATTTCCAAGTTCAAACGAGAAAACCCTTAAGTTTGACCTTTATACGCGCACGTGCCGAAAAGGCCCCGACAGGCACATTAATTTGATTAATTGGAGATTTTAAGAACATGATATTAGACTGCTAGTAATGTACTATTAATGTACTAGGGAAATTACCTCAGAGGTTTAGTGCACAAAAGTTGCAAACGAGCGCGAAAATTGGACACGCAAAGACCCTAAACGGACCTAGCAAGAGTTGACACTTAGACTTAACCATTAAGTCACCAATTTTCTCTACTTTCATTACAATACCTGATTTCACTCTCTCTCCACTCATCACTCTCTAGTTGGCCGAAGATGGGAAGAAAAAAATCTAGCCAAAATCCTCACAAACTTGCTTCAATCCACTTCCAAATTTGATCATCCATTAGAGGGCTTTGATCCTAGCTTGGAAGAGGGGGCTGTTCATCGGTTTTCTTGGAGGAATTTCGGTCAAGATTTCTGCCCTAAAGCTGTCCAACTAAGTTCTTGAGGTAACTCACTCACCCACGCTTCAATATTGCAAAATTATAGCTCAAATGGAGCAAAGGTAGCATGGGTTTGCAACCTATGGTAGAATTTGGGTTGATTGGTTGAGTAATTATGTTCTTGCAAGTCCATGACATGCTCGAGGGTTTGAGGATGTTTATTGGTGACTGATGTGATGAATTAGCATGTTGTGGTTGCTGATATTGTGCTATGTTACATGTATATAGAATGATTGATGGAATGAAGTTGGAAGAAAGTTAGAAATTTGGAGAAGGTACTGTCTGAAATTTCTGACTTGCTGCCGACTTTCTTGTTTGCTGCTGCCCTGTAATTTCGAAAATTTTCTGGGGCTAATTGAGCTTCCAAATTGGTGTAGATATGTTGTGCTATGTGTATTGTGGTTGTTTACCAAAAATCAACCCAAATGGTTGGTTAAATTTTGAGTTACAAGTAAAGAAGTAAAACTGGAACAAGCTCCAGAATTTTTTGACCAGCAACATTTGTGTAGCTATAACGTTTTGCTCCTTGATCAAAATTGAGTGCCGTTTGCAGAATTTGAAAGTAGACTCTTAGAGCTTTAAAATGGTACCAAGCTCATTTTATAGTTCATCACGAACGATTCGTGGCGAGTTTTGAAAGTTGGCTGCCTGTTTATTACTGTTCATCCGAGACTGTCCAGAAAATCCATTTTGTTGCTTGATTTTGAACCGCTTATGTCTGGATTTTGGAAATGATTTCTCCTGCATAAATATATCCTTGTGAACCTAGTTTCTAACACCACCAACCGTTTTCAATTTCACTGAGAATCAAGTGAGATACGGCCTAATTAGCGAAGTGCATTAAATCTGGAAAATAGGCCAACAGTCCAGGAATTTTAGCGAACTTCAACTTTTTATTTCTTCAGCTAGGAACATCAGAATCAAGTTCCGTTTCTTTCATTAGAAACCCGGATTGTAACTTTACATGCATATCAAATTTAAAAGGCTGGTTTTGATTCTATGATTTTTACCGAAATTCCAAATTTATTAGAAAAACTTGGACTGTTTTGACCTATCTTCAATGAATAGTAAACTTTCTTGGTGAAATTGACTTGTTTCTGATTTGATTCTTGGAAAGTGACCTTCTACAAAGTTTTTATGCTTCGAATGAAGTTTTTGACGGTGTAAAATTTTCTATTTTAGACTTTCCGAACTTCCGGACTGATTTTTCCACGAATGACTCGAAAAGTGAAAATTTCCAATTTGGACCTAAATGTTCTTTTAAGGGCCTAGGTTACATTTTTACAACTCTTAGAGCATTTCAAACCTATTTTCATGAGTTCACCTATCACTTGAGACCTCATTTGAAAGTCGGTTCCTTATGAACTAAAATACTTTGGAAACTTGAATTGTGGAGTCAAAATTGACTATTTCTTTTCTTTACACGAATACTGTATGGCCTGGAATTTGAGATACAATGCATTATTGCATACTTTCAGTATCTCAAGAGGACTTCGAGGGAACTCCCGGCGAAGCGTCTTAGGGCTAATTTCTCAAACTTTGACTTTTGATACTTGGTGAGTATCAAGTGCATGTGAAGTGTTTAAATGAAATGATTCTTGTACTTGCTAGTTAATGAGGTTAGGGTGTACTTTATCGCCATTGTCCTCTCTTTCATGAAATTGCTTGCTTGATAAGTGATACGTGTTACATGTGAATGCAAATGAAAGTGTTTTCGTGAGCATTGAGTGGCAGAATGTATCATGCCCTTTTAGGGTAGGAGGTACCGCTCATCCCGTCCCAATGCTATGACCAAATCTTGTCGATTGGAGCTTCGTCTCATCGACCTAAAAGTGAATGGGGGGGACGCCCCAGCTCATTGGCTAGCCTTGTAACTCAAGCCGGCAAGGGTTTGGTCGAGAAACTTGGTAAACCTTGGGAAGTGTTATAGCTTGATCCAAATAAGGGGTCTTTCTAGGTATACTTGTTAAGTGATACCACCTACATGCTTGTTTGGTTACGGATCCAAGAGGGTGTCATGGTGGCTGGAGGTAGTAAGTGGAGTTCTACATGGATAACTGTGACGCCCCGAAAGAATGAGTGTGAGAACCCGAAAATTTTTATATATTTTCTAGACATTATTTTGTTTCCTCGTCTATAATTTTGTACCTTTCTTCAATATTTTGATTTTCTATACATTTTTATAAGTAAATATAGTTTTCAAATCATTTTCTTGATACAAGTTAGTCCACATTAATTTTGAAGAGTATTATGAACGTGGGACCCGCTGGTGCGGTAAATGCAATATATTTTTGACAACTTGATGGAGTTTTGTATTAAGTGATATTATTTTACAAGGTGCTAAGAGATAATTAGATGTTACCTATATGGATTAGTACTGGAGAGACAAAAAGATAAGTTTTAAACAAAAAGGTGACATGTGTCACATTCTTATTCAAAGTTGGACTTTTGACCATCTTACCTTAACTTTACTAAAACCAAAATTTGACCAAAAATCAAACCATTTCTTCCTTCTCATGGCTGAAACTTGGAGAGCAAGAGAGAGAGAAAAACCTTCATCTTTCACTCCAATTTCTTACTTCAATCTTGAGTTTTAACCGATGGAATTGCAAATCACTCCATAAAAGTTGGTTACTAAGGAGATTCTAAGGTCTTGGTGGAGTTATTTTGGAGAAGAAACCACTAAGCCACTACCTTTCTTGAGGAATTAAGGTATTTTGCCAAGAACATCCTCTTTACTTCAATTAATTGCTTATTAGTGGTTTTTAGTTGTTTTAGATGTTGTTTTGTGGAAGATTAGCACTTGAATGCATGAATTCCAGGTTAGGGTTTTCCATCTGCCCTGTTCTGATTGGATTTATTCGAGCTTGTTAGAGGCTGAACCCGGCTTAGGTTAAAACATGAAAGTTGTATAAAATGGTGTTAACTAGCTGCCTACAAAATTTCAACTCGATCCGAGCACTGTAGCATGTGAAATGACTAAAATACCCTTGACTGTCCATGAACCCTGTTCCGCGCCCAGATTTCTGTTTCCGTGGAGTTTTCCATTTTTGACCATGAAATTGCATGATTTGGCTTTGGAGGTCTTCATAAGAAATGTAGGTTTATATCCTGGCTTCGAAACCCCATAAGATTCGTTTCGATCCGATAAGGGTAGCTTCAGTTATGGATATTGTGCCGGAAACTGTATTTGATAGTCTATGATATGTATGTGGTTGATTTGTGATGAATTGGTGTTGCTTGTAGGATGGAAAAGTAAGGAAATTAAGGGGAAATTCTGTCCGATCTTTGAAAGCATTTGATTGCTTTGAGTTTGAGTTGAAGGGCTTGGTTTTGGGCAAGGCAATGATATATGATGGATGGTTCTTGAGCCGTGGAGGTGAGTGACCCTAAACTGTTTCCAAAGCTACTTTAGAACCGTTTCTTGAGCTACTTATGAACTATTTTACATTTGTGGAGCATTTATGGCTTGTATCGCAATTTAGAGCATTTATTGCTTGAACTAGAGCATTTATTGCTTGAACTACAATTTTAGAGCATTTATTGCTTGAACTATTGCTTTAACACTTTGATTTTGAAATGAACTATTGCGAAACTGATGTGATTACTGATTTTACTGGTTACTCGCTGAGCTTTTAGCTCACCCCAAAACTATATTTTATTTCCCCTCCACAGGGCTCGTGGCGAAAGAAAGGCTTGTAGTACTTATTCATGTGGTTGGATGGATTATCTCCTGTATAGTTTGGGTTTTAGATTTCCTCTTGTGTAATAGTTGTTATTAGGGTTTTGTATGAACGTTCGGACTTGAATGGAGGTATGTATAAGTTCCACGCTTGGGAATTAGTTTCCGCTGCGTATGTGATATGTAATTCTTCAAGAATTTGATGGATATTTGATTTTTATATTGTAATTTGTTTGAGGACTGTAGTGAGCGACTGAGTCTCGGCGAGAGTTGGGTAGGCGGCCCGCCGAACCCTGGGGTACGCCCTAGGGGGAGGTGGGGCCGTCACAATAACTGTGAAAGTTGATGGAGGGTCAACTACCTAAGCTTGAATCGCGTGTGGATTAGCTCCTGAGAGCTCCCGTATCCTTTTATTGTGATTAAATTCCCTAGTTGCTTAACGTTTCGCTGTTACTTGTTACTCGAATTATTGCTTTATATTGTGTCTTTGCTAGCATGCTTGCATGTTTTTCCCTTGGCCTCACTGAGCGTTAGCTCACCCCAATTTGTTTTCCTTAATAGGTTTGGAAGTGGAAGTTCTGAGGCTTAATTAGTGACCCCCCTTTTGGGTAGAACTAGTCGTTATCTTTAATTCTGGGACTCCATAGTGTAAAACTTATGATTATTTTGGGCTTTCGGTATTGTAAAAGTACATTGAAAATCTTGGATGTAATATATAAGCATGAATCGTTGTTTTATATTTTAGAGTACATGAATGTTTTAGTGGAGTATTTCATGTGATATTGGAGTTTAATTTGTAATTTACTTGAAGATTGTAGTGAGTCCCGGCGAGAGCTGGGCAGACGGTCCGTCGAACCCTTTGGTTCGTCTTAGGGGGAGGTGGGGTCGTCACAGTTAGTATCAGAGCTTAGGCTCTAGATCTTGTAGTGTATCCTCGGCTTAAAGTTTAGGATGCCTAACTGTGGGATTAATTTGAATATTATGTGAATGAGGACCTATTGTATCATAAGGGTTAAAGAAATTGATTATTTGAGAGTTTCTTACTTGGGACTTGTAGAAATAAAAAAAAATTGAGGAATTAGGTGATGTTATATTGAAGGAAAATATGGGATGAGGATTAGTAGTAAAAGATTGGATGAATTTGAATTATTATTATACTTGTAAGTGTGGAAAGAATTGAGGCAATTATTAGTACTGGCTATAGAGGATAAGAGACCGGGATTTGATGGTCAAACTCCATGTATGATGATTTTGAACCAAGATAAAAGAGTTTCAAAGGAATAAAATGTATTTTCCTGCCCATTTACCTCCTAGAGAATTTCTGCTTTGAAATTCTAAAGAAAAACGAGGATGTACTAGTTTTATTTTCAAACGATGATTGGAAATGATATATATATGCTTAAGTATGTATAATTTTCCGATTTTGGTAAATATGTGAATTTTACTTGAATTTCAATCTGAAAAATTGTGAATAACTGATGAGTTTGTTGAATTTTGTATATGATGGGCTGATACAAGGTTAAAATTTTCTAAACTAAGTTTTCCCCCCTTGATTGTATACTAGTGTATTCTCACACTTGAATTTGTCTATGCTTTACAAAAAAAAAAAATCTTGAGTTTTCGGAAGAATGGCGAACTTATGTTTTTATAATGTAAATCTTGAACTTGATAAAATTTTTGGTTACTTTGAATACTCTTCTTATGTTTTAAAATTCTTGGTTTTCAAGAAGAGTAAGCCTATCTTTAGGTGTACGGACTGAGGGAACTTTGAGATATAGAGTAACCGCATTCAAGAGCACAAAGTTAGTGTGAATTGACTTGGTTTCCATTTGACACATAAGTTAGCAAGTTGTACCTATTTCTTGGGTTTGAACTTGGAGCTTGAGGCTTTAACTATAAAACCCTAAAACTGGTTATTCTTGGAGATGATGGTGCTCTGGCTGATGGCTTGCTTATTAAAGATTTTGAATTTCGAATGGATAACCTTTGGTTTTAGCTTGTGTTATGGTTTGATTGGATCTAATTTCGTAAAGGCATGTGATCTGATTGAAATTAGTGATATTTGGACCCTTTGGTTTAACTATGGACTTAGGAAGGGTGGTGCGCGCCGTGAGGCCTTTTGTATCCTGTTTGCATATACTTCTATATTTTGTGGCACTTAATTGCCTATATTGTGACGACCCCACTTCTCCCAAGGGCAAACCCAAGGGTATCGGCGGGCCGCCTGCCTAGCTCGCGCCAGTACTCAAAACTTAAACCAATAAAACTAGATAAATCGAAAGAGCACTATATATAATATATACAATCCCAAAAGTTATATTTACATCTTCAAAAGTCTCGAGTCAAACCACTCTAATACACTATAACCACAACCAGCAGAAGATAGACCCTAAGAAGGGTCCTTATACAAACCACCAAAACAAAAACAAACATCCTAACTGTTCAACTATTACAAGCCAATCTAACTATACTAGTGTACGAGCCAAAATTCCCCGCGTCGGCCCCTGCTAAGGAAAACAAAAGGAAAGGGGTAAGCTATATGCTTAGTAAGTAAACAGGGGCGAAAGCATAAATTTCACGTAACAACAGTTACACAGTAAGAGTTAAGCAAAAGCAGAAAAGTAACATCACATAACAAGGATACAGGTGGCTCCAAAGCCAATTCATGTGCCATGTATGATCTCCTGTCGACACTCCGTCGACTACAATTAATGGTCCGTAGAACTTCACTTGTACTCCCACCGTACACCTTATCACCCTCTCTGGCCAGGCACCTTGTGACGACCCCACTTCTCCCAAGGGCGAACCCAAGGGTATCGGCGGGCCGCCTGCCTAGCTCGGGCCAGGACTCAAAACTTAAAGCAACAAAACTAGATAAATCGAAAGAGCACTATCTACAATATATACAATCCCAAAAGTAATATTTACATCTTCAAAAGTCTCGAGTCAAACCACTATAATATACTATAACAACAACCAGTAGAAGGTAGACCCTAAGGAGGGTCCTTATACAAACTACCGAAACAAAAACAAACATCCTAACTGTCCAACTATTACAAACAAGACCTAACTATACTAACGGCAGAGTCCCAAAGTTCCCCGCGTCGTCCCCTGCTAAGGAAAACAAAGGAAACGGGGTAAGCTAGAAGCTTAGTAAGTAAACAGGGGTAAAAACGTAAATTTCACGTAACCACATTTACACAGTAGGAGTAAAGCAAAAGCAGAAAAATAACATCACATGATAAGGATACTTATGGCTCCAAAGCCAAGTCATTTGCCATGCGTGATCTCCTGTCGACACTCCGTCGACCATAAATAAGGTCCGTAGAACTTCACTTGTACACCCACCGGACACCTTATCACCCTCACTGGCCAGTCACCTCACAAACTTGCCCGGGCGAACAAAATCACAAACTTGAGCTTGAGTCACAAGCTCGGGTCACAAACTTGGTTCATAACTCGGTGAACCGGATTCACAAACTTGGTGACCTCAATCCAAGTTGGACTGACTTCGACCAAGCCCTAACCGGCTCGAATAGTCCCTCGAGGTATTGAGATCAGCCCCAAACTCACAAATTGCATAAAATTATTCAAAAGTTACCCTGAGCCACAAGCTCAAGGGTTTTAGTTCCAAAATTGCTTATATACACAAGCCATGTACAGATATGTGCGCAAATTAGGGTCTAGGTCGAGTGCGATAAAGTACACCCTCGCCTAAGTACCCTCTTCATACAAATCGAAACACATAAGCAACGAACACACAAGAGCGGCCTGAATACTTACTCAAAATACCAAAAGTAGTACTAAAGCAAAATCGCTTCGCGCATGTTCGCTGGTAGTGGGCCCCACCGGCTCCGCCTAGCTCACCACTGTCTGAAATAGAATATTTTATCACATTATATAACAAACGGCTACTAACAGATCCAAAACAAGCAAAACGGCAAAAATCGGCACACGCGCTCACGCGGAACGGCAAACGGAAACAGCCAAATCGGCCATCTCAAACCGTTTTGATCAAAAGTTAGGCCAGGAATATCGGATCAAGGTGAGCGAGACACCGTTTCGAAGCTATGAGAAAGGCCTACAATTCTCATGAAGACACCTTAAACTAGATCCGAATCAACACAAGTCGAAATCATGGAAAATGGTACCAGAAGTTTGCATTTTGAATGACAGACAGGGTCTGTTTACTGGACCATAACTTCTAGCTCACAAGTCCAAATCAGGAATTTATAAAGGCATTAGAAAGCTGAGACATAAGGCTAAAACTTTGATGTTTTGGCCAAGACCTGAATCCACTCAGAACAGAACGAAAATTGAGTGCCAAAGTACCCGTCAGAACTGTCCAGATACAAGGCAGTTCTGACGATCAATCTTGTTTTGGTCATAACGGAAGCTACGGAACTCGGATTTCGAAGCACTTTATACCGTTTCAAAGCTGAGACCAATATCTACATTTCTTATGAAGGAGTTGACACCCAGATCGTACGGGATCAAAACGGAAAACCCACGGTCAGAAGCTGAAATTCAAAACGTACACAAACTAATGTCTAAAACAGGCCTGAGTGTTCTGTCTATAACTCAGAATACACTACTCCGTTTAACCTGAAATTTTACAGGCATATTTAGAACTTAAGGGGCTACATTTCATCAGAAGACCTCAACATCCAATTCCAAAGAAATTCCAGCCAAAACAACCAATTTCAGACGCAGTTCTTACATTCGGATGAATCCAGAATAGCAATAGTAATTTCGACTTTTCTCATTCTACACTACTCCGATTGACCTGAAATTTTATAGGTACCTCAAATACATCAATACCTACAACTTTTATGTTTTAAGCCAAGGCCAATTCGGCCTCTAAGCATGAGATAAAAAACCGGACAGAAATGAGGGATATGAAACCCTAGTCTTCCAAATTTTCTTCCAAACCAAGAATTGCTTGCAATTATCAATCATTTACACCTACTAGAGTTATTAAACATCATTTCCAATCATCATAGATAGCCACACCATCATGATCATATTAAACCAGAAAAATCACCAATAAATTGAAAACTTCATCAATTCATCCAAAAGCAAGAAATAACCACAAAATTCATCACTTTAACTATCACTAGGCATCAATTAAGCTTCATTAGATGAAGGAGAAGGTTCATTCACTACTCACCTAGTAAAACAAGAGAGAGAGAGAGTTGCTTGACACCTTAGCTTCTCCAAACACTTCACCAAACTACTAAATAACACCTAATGAAGAGATTTTATGGAGTAGAAACAAGTTTATGTGATTGTTTTGGAAGATTTGAGCTAGATAGAAGCTAGAAATTGGAAGAGTTTTCTTTCTTCTTTGCTCAAGATGGCCGACCAAGAGGGAGGAGGAAAGAGTGAATTTTTGGTAAGTTTTTGAGATATTTTAACTAAATGGTAAAAAGTCAAAAAGGTGAATAGTTGTCCAACAAGTCCAACCAATGAGATAGTGACACTTGTCACTCCATTTAAAGCATCTCTATCCTTTTTCTCTCTCACATCAATCACATCACAACCTCTACTTATCTCTTAACACCCGATAAATTTCACCCAGTGTCCGGAACTTAACCTAAT